TCATAAAGATGAGTTGGCACTACCAACTAGTTCATCAGAGGATGCAGTTTCCTGGACACAGTGGTTGTTTGAAGGAAGAGCAGATGTCTCAGATAGGGTAAATCGGGGTCATTTTTAGAAATTGCTAAATGTTAAGATGGCTGGAGTATCTTTTTTCTGGATTGTGAAGCTACAAATGGTTATCTTCGATGCCACATGAAGACGGAGTGCTAAAGAAGGAAGCCGACACAAAAGCAAATAGAACCTAGAGAATGAGAAAGGGTGAGACCACTTGACTGAACCCCTGGGACCACCCATGCCTGGTTTGTCTCTAGAATTTCACAGTTAAGTGAGACAAACAAAAGCATTTTTTCTTACAAAATTTGAGCTAATCAGAGTAGGTTTCTACTTCTTATAATGAATGTTTCTGGCTAGCACATAGATCGTCTAATCTATGACTTTTAAGCAAGTCATTTTACTTCTCTGTTCCTTCATTGTAAAATGAGAGGCTGGACTAAATCCTCTAATGTCACATTTAGCTTTTAAAGTCTGTGCACAAGCAAACTTAATTATTAAAGCGAACATACAACTCTGTCATGTAAAAAATATAAGGATATAAATCTTTGGGTTTCTGTTTCCTTAGGACACGTTCCATCTCTTCAAGTGAAAGGTAAAGTACTAAAAAATGAAAAGGAACTGAGGTATTTAAATTTAGAACAATAACCAGAGGAATACAACATGCATTTCTCAAAATATAACATTTAAAACTACCAGAATAAAAGCACACGATAAGTCTGAAAGGCCTTTTAACAAAAGTAAAGTAGGTTTTGTCTTAAAGGAAGAAGGTGCAATATAGTTCTTGAAAAAATGCATTATCTATTTTCATGTTAGGGGTGGTGTCATGAAACAAGGTACTTTACCAGGTTATTGCCACATCCCAACACAAAAATTCCATTCCTAAGGTACCAGGAGTGAAAAAAACGCTCCTGTGAAGTGGGATGGGCTTTCTTGTTCACATGAAGTCTCAGAACCATGGAAGATGATTTCCTGGAGGAGCTGCATACTCATAAGGAGGGATCAGAAAGAACCTGGGGAATGATCTCAGGGAAAGATTTTATCAAAGAGATCTATGGTGCTTTAAAAAACATTTTATTTATTCGTTTTTAGAGAGGGAGAAAGAGATGGAGATAAACATCAATCAGTTGCCTCTTGCATGCACCCCAACTGGGCAACCCAGGCATGTGCCCTGACCAGGAATTGAACTGGCGACCTTCTGCTTTGTGGGATGATACCCAACCAACTGAACCACATCAATCAGAACAGATTAAGGTGCTTTTGATCAAAGAGGGGGCGTGACTCTCCCTTATCTCCGGCTCCTGAGGCATCTGTGCAGAGGCCGATTCCACACCACAGTTTCAAAATCATTGCCTGGAAGGCAGAGAAGCAAGGCTTCTCTAGTCAAAGACAGCACCTTTTTTGGTAAAAACAAAGTTGGTGACCTCATGTCCATTTTCAAAACATCTCTTGGTTATTTTCAATAAGATAATGTAGACTGCAAAAGTATGAGACTCACTGAATGTAAATATTTCAGGCAAATTGACTATAGCAAAGATTGAAAAGAAGAAAAAGAATACATGGTTTATAAGATGCTCAGGAAGTATATTCCCTTAGCTGTGGATGCACTGGAGCTCACACTGGCTCAAGAATCCAGGTGAGAACTAGGAGGGACCCCTAACAAAACTGGGTTCTTCTCTCCTTTTTCTTTCTTCCCTGCCATCTTCCCCCTCAACCATTTATCCACTGAATCTACAATATTTATGTGATAATTACTAAGGGCTAGAAACTGAGCTGGGTACTGGATGCAAAGCAAAGGATAAGTGAGATACAGCACTGCTTCCACAGAGATTACAGTGTTCTAGAAAAAAATAACATTAACTTGAAAAATATATAGAAACCCATATACTATAGGAAGATAGAGGTATCTAATCAAAAGTTCCAAGAAAGGCCTTCAGGAGGAAGCAAAATTTGAAATTAGATTTAGAGGGTAAGAAGAAGAGGAAGAGGGCTGGACAGGTGGCATGTACGTGTATGAAAAGTTCTAGGCAGAGGGAATAGTAGACATAAAAGCTAATAAGTGAGACAACCAGGGAAGACCTGCAATACGCTGATACACTGGTATGAAGATTTCTTCCTGCTTTTTAATGTCTCTACCATGTAACTTCTCCACTAGATATTATCTTGTCATTCTAAACTTTTCACCATTTTTTTTCTGTGAAGCAGTAAAACAGAAAAAAATACTCAAGGTAGTAAGGTAGATGGCAAACTAGAATTAGCTTCTACTTGAAAGCTGGCTGGGGATGCACAGGAAACTATGTGAGGAATTTCAGGTGGTAATGACTGGGGGAGAGTAGTGAATATCATGAGAGAAAGAAGAAAAAATTGTATTTTATTCCATGCATGCCTAAACAAATTCACTCCTTTTATCCCTAACACTCCCTGAGAGAATAGATTTTAAAAGAGGAAAAGGGTACAGAAATATTCTGGTAATTACTCATTCCCAATATGACAATTAGATTTTTTCTCATATGCAAACTGCCTTCAACTGGAAGGATGTTGCTTGGAATTTGGAGCACTGGGTAGAGAAGTATTCTGTGGTCCAAGGTCAGTGGGAAACAGTGTGGTGACCAAACAGCCATAGTTATGGGACACCATCACGGCAGCGGTGCTGTGTGTTTGCTAGTCTAATCCAGATCATCGGATGGCACATAATTTGACTGATAATAACTTTCAAGGTTGTAAGTGCTTCTGAGTTCTCTACATCATTTTCTCATCTAAAAAACTCTACTCCTAAGAAGAACTACTCTTAAGAAGGTGGAAAGATGAAATGGAAGGAGCAATAGACAAGTTCTATCTGCGGTTCTATTACTGTTTTGCTGAGTGTTCTGGGACAATGAACTCTATAAACACAATATATTACTGATCCTACTTTGTTATTCGACAACAAATATAGTATTTTCTTGACCAGTGGCTGCCAGCTGAAGTGGCAGAGACGGCTACATGTTGTTAGCATTCAAGCTCCTCTTCTTCTTTTGCTAATAGAACCTTCCACCACAAACTGAGTTTTAACAAAGCATATACACGACTACCCAGCTTAAGACTACACTTCTCAGCCTCCTTAAAATTTAGTTGTGGCCTCATGAAAATGCTTTAGCCAATGAAATGTATATAACTTCTTCATCGCTTGCATAAAAAGAAATGGTTTGTCTGCCAATTTCTCTTTTTTCCCCTGGTGGCCTGAAATGTGAATAAGGCATTGGTGAACCAACTTTGACCAATTAGACTCATATAAAACGCTATTAAGGTTAAACATCACAGAGAGCTGTGGTCTTGGTCATTCTCATGGAGCAGAGCTTCCTACCTCATTTGAGCTTGCTGCCTACTTGGACTATGACAGGAAATAGAAATAAATTTCTCTTTTGTTGGAGCTACGGTGTTTTTAGGTCTCTTTGTTACTGAAGCTTAGCTAGGACCCAACTAATTTACAAACTCAAATGCCTGAGAGACAAGGAAGTAAACATAAATCAATGAATCATGTAGACAAGAACTGATCAAAACTAGGGAACACATGACCCACCTAAAGGGGGGCAACATGAGGCAGCTTGGTCTAGCCTAAAGTTAAGCAAAAATGCCTTTATGTCAGACTCAAGCTTATGATTACTAGTTTGTAACCTGTTCTCAACTATGAGACAGCATTGGATGTAAAATGCACAAACACACCATCATCTTAACAGCTTTCTGGAAGAACAACAACAAATAAGAAAACTCAGCACATCAAATGTGTACACCAACTGCCAGGTATCAGAAATGTGAAAAAAAAATGTGTTTTTTACGATTGAAAAAAAATTGCTTTGGTTTTAGGACATAACTCTAAACATGAAAAACATTCCAGGAGATGATGATGAAAGTGTAGCATAATGAGCCCAAATTCCTCATCACCCTTGGCTCTGCAATAGGAAGCAGCTGGACAGCTGAGAAAACCAATAGCTGCAACCCACACAGTAACTGGACTGCGGTGAACTCAAATCCCACACCCATGTGATGGTGCTGTTGTGACCTTGTATAATACATATTTACCTTTATTTCACTATTGTGTAGCCACTCAAAAAAGTTAGTTTGCGGTGGATTTATTCCATGTTATTTACATTTAATGACACAAAATACATACTCAGCATAGACATATTTAGCTAATAATTTTAACTAGGGGCTGATTTCAGCCACACCATTATCCTGTGACCCTTTAGGATCATCAAAGGGAAACTTAACTGACTTATGAAGACAACAGTCACAGAACCAACACCTTCCTCAAATATTCAATAATGTACCACATTTCCAAGCTGTCTTCTGTTGTTCCTTTACATCAACAAGCAAGAGCATGGAAACATCAGCCTGAGGAAGGGAAGCCAGGGGATGGAAAGAAGTACACCTTGCTGACCGTCTAGCAGTTCTGCAAGGCATGACAGCCCTTGGCGAGCTGACCAATGGAAAAGCCAGAGGGTGGCTGCAAAGGTGTGTCTGTACCTGATGCTCTAGGTAGTCCTCCCAAGGTCAAATCGGAGGGCTCTGGTGCTACAGACTTTGATGTGTCTCATACTGGACCATTCCTTACTCTTCACTGGTATTGCCCTAGACCATGATTAATCTGTTCATTTTTCAAATGATCCAGTTTATAGGGGAATAAAGCATTAAAAAATGACTTTTCAAAATGGGTCACAGACAGATACTAAAAATCAAGATACAAATAAAGGATTGCAAGTCTCCTTAAAAACATCTTCATTCATTCTGTTGAGAATATTCATTCTATCAAAGGGAGCTCACTATTGTGTGTGATATTAAGTATCTGTCCAGAGTAAAGAACATTAAGAGCACATATTTGGTCTTAGTCTTTTTCATTAATTATAAGTTTACACCTGTTGCTGGACAGATGATTCTGTAGTTTTATTTTGTTAAGTTTTTTTTTTTACCTCTTTATATATTCCAGTGCATACATAATAGTCTCTGGAGGGGAGGCCAAGTCGAGGCTGGTCGATCTACGAAAAATATACAAAAGAAGAAAATGAACCAGTTGATATGGAACAGTTTCCCAAACACCAGCATGCCTATCTACGTGTGAGCAAGACCTTATAAACAGCAAGTGCTCTCTTGCTGTTTATAAGGGTGATGATCACACACTGAGTGGACATATAATTAGGAAATGGTTTTCATACTACTTCAAAGTATTAAACTGATGGGTAGTTAGGTAGTCTGGGAGACTGTGTCACAGATATTTGAGAAAAAACAAGGAAAACTTGAATAGGAAATACACTGGGAAGGATTTTAATGCAGAATAGAAGGTGCAGGTGAACAAAAACATGTGAGAATCTAGGACTGAGGAGGTTCTACATTACACATTTACAAGACACCCCGCTTCCAGTGATTCTATAATATGCACCCCTGAGGGACACTGTCTTCTACTCACACCCTTAACTGGGATGCAGTAGAACTAGGAGGTGGAAAACCTCGGTGGTACGTATAGAATTTTTAGCTAGTGGAATCTTTCCAGAGATTTTTTTGAGATCCCCCAACCTAGGGGGATAGAGAAGATGCCTCATTGGTTCTCTCAAAAGCTGCCCTGCTCTGGACTTCAGCAGACTCTGCTGCCCCCTGAGCATGTGAAAGACAAACCTCAGGTCTGCTCTGTGGTGTGCAGGTCACTCCATACACAGAGGGAGCTACCTGGACATGCTCACAGCCCTGTGAGATTGCACTGCATGGTAAGAAGATGGGTGCAGGGGAAACTTTTAAAAACAATTTTATTCATTCATTTTTAGAAAGAGGGGAAGGGAGGGAGAAAGACAGGGAGAGACACATTGATGTGAAAGAAAAACATGGGTTGGTTGCCTTTTGTACACGCCCTGACCAGGGGCTGATCCCTCAATCCAGATATGTGCTCAGACTGGGAGTCAGTCAGGTGACCTTCTGTGTTGCTGGATGATGCCCAAACCACAGAGCCACACTGGTCAGGGCTACAGGGGAAACTTTGAAGTCAAATGTCTTTGATGTTCAACTAAATGGTTTGATATAGTCTTGGTTTACCATTTAGTAATAAATATTTCTTGGCTTATTATTTAATATTTCTTGGTTTACTATTTAATAATAAAATATTTTGAGCCCTTGAAGAAAAGAAGAAGATGGGCACAGGGCCAAACCTGAGCATCTATGGGTTAAAGCAAGAATCCTAGCAGGAAGAAAGAACCAGGTCAGGACAAAAGAAACATCACGCAGCGGGTTGGCGTGGGAAAAGCCAGAAGACATCTCTACGAGAAGAGCTCTACTCCTTCTTTAAAAAACACAATCGACCTCATGATGATCGCACAGGATGCTGGCATTTAACAGCCCAGGGAAAGAAATGAGGAAGGGAGGAGAAGGTCCACTGTGAAAGAGAGCTGGGTTCAACGTTTTCCATAATTTTAAATGACTGACCATGAAGATTTATGTGGTAGTGACGCAAATGTGATTCTGTGACCTGCAACTTTTGGTTTAGTTTCTTTTACAGGAGAGTAAATAAAAGCTTTATACATTTTTTAGTCTGTTCCAAACACACTCCTTAAGTATAAATCTTGTTTTAGGTGACACCTTAGATAAACCTAAATGAATGGCTTACATTAAAAAAAAATCTGACAAAGCCATTTGAAAAGAGTGGCATCTTATTTACCTTAACAGAGAAAAAAAAGTACAGACATTCTTTAGCAAGAACCAAAACTGTGTTCAAAACTTCTTTCTCTATGTTCTCTTTGGAAGCAATTAGGAATTTCTGGTTTCCAGACTGCATTACTACGTAAACCAGCCCACTTTTCTGTCAGGAACATACAGAGAAATCAGGCACTTTTTCTAAATGGGAGGGGCCTGATGTCTTTCATTTCTTATTTGTTTTATAAAAGGAGAGGTATCCAAAATAAATAAACCATAAAGGAGAGATGAATGTCTAAAATACAGCATTAAGAATATATTTTCAAAATTGAGAATCTAGATATCAGGGACAGAGCAGGAATTTATTGCCACCTTGCCCGTGTAATTCAAATGAAAATGTGCATTATTTCTCAATATCAACAACAACCATGTGTGTGGAAGTTTTATTACAATTTAAAGGTAACTTTGGCTGACAGCCACAGAAACTTACGTGAATTATATGGTTCGTAGAGTTCTTATCATCAGTGCCAACAAAAAAATTAATAATGACTTTTTTTCCATATTTAGAATTCAGTTGAGCAATAGCTTTCTCAGCTGTCCAAGAAGTACCTGAAGCAATACAAGGTAAAGTACATCTTTAGAAGCTTTAGTGCATAATATGACAGCATAATATAATAATGTAAATTTTATTGGAAATTATTTTTTTAAAAAAGAAGGAAAACTACCTTACCATGTGTTTGCTCCCAGTTTTCTGTGGCTACTGGCCAATCATATATATCTGGTAACACTTGGAGTAGAGGCGTTCCACCTCTGCTATCGATAACAGCTTTCGAAAGCAATGAAAACAAATGTATTAAGACGTCTGTGCACGTTCTAGCACACTGTTAGTGAAACACAATGAGGCACACTTACATTCATTTACACAAGATCTGTACAGCGTTTTTGCTTTCTGCACTGCCTCTATATCTTCAGGTTTGGGGTCCTGCAGAACATCTGAAATGGAGCATTTAAGAAAGAGCATCAGTGTAATTGCTCATCTGCAGCAGTAATGAACATTTTCAGCATAGGTTCAGTAACAAACTTGCTTCTTTGTATGTACGCTCACTCCCTTCGCATGCCAAAACCCTACGGGAAAAACCAAACCCCTCACCTCATCACCATTCCTAGTGCAGAACGGGGAGTTACTTTCATCAGCCAAGTTACATGAAAGTGTTTTGGACTAGATTATCTTTTTTTTTTTTGAACCGTGATGTGTACTGCTTTGCCACAGATAAGTTACTTTGGTTTCAAATTGAGATTAAAAAGAAAACAAGTAAGAATACGGAGGAATTTGGAATTTAATATGATACTCCTCTTGATGGCTGAAAAATAATTCTCTTCGTGTGATTGCACTGTTCATGCTCCAAATAAAATGAATTGTTTTACTTGTTTGGATGTTAGAAAATAGGAAACCTTGTTTTCTCAAAGTAACTTCCAGAGGAAAAGAACAAAGGATGGACAGTAGGGACTAGACACGACTTTCTCAGTTTCCCAGGAGAGTGTCTCAGCTGGGTCAGAACCAATACACCCCTCTGGGAAGGCGAGTCTTAGGAATGTCTTCCAACGTCTTCATCACAGGGCCATGGTGGGAAGACCAAGGAGGGAGTGGTTAGTGGAAATCACTTCACTTTTTTTCTGTATAACAGCATAACAATGCCATCTTTAGGGATAACAGGGCTTATGGTTTGTGTGCCTCCACATGGAAGCAGGCATGCCAAGAGATGCCAGCATCTCCAATTCAGTGTCTTCCAGCCTCAATGGGACTAGATGGTGGTCCACAAAATCTGCAGGGATGACTGACTCTAATCCTGTGTGTGCAGTGTGACCCACAATAGCCAAGGGCTGTGCCTCAAAAAATAGATAGATGAAGAGAGAAATCTTTGATGCACAGACGCAAATTTCACTAACCTTTCAAAATGACTTCTAGTTCATCTCTTAAGATGTCAAAATTACTGTAACGGGAGCTGGTCTCAGGAATAATGTTGTGTTTCAGCCAGCCTCCACAGGCGTACTTGAAAAAGTCTGAACACGGCTCAACGGTGGTGTCCATGTTCTGGATGAGTCGAGCAGCTGAAAGACCAGACAAAGGACAAGGTAAAACAAAGAGGGTATTTCTTGAGTAGTTTGGAAGGGCGGGGAAAAGCATGCTGCTTCCCCTTTAGTTCCCCTTTAAGAGCAAGTCAACTGGCTTGATGCTTCTTTTTCAACTCAGGGTAGGATGATGGATATTATCTAAGTATAGTCTCCCTTTAGTACAGTTGATTGGTTTTATTCCTGAAAGGTCTGGGCTGGAATTCTCCATATCACCCTGTTCCCCAAGTAACTTTGGTTCTTGGTGGTTTCTATTTGAGACTTTATATATATATACACACACATACATATCTGCTTTGGATGGGCTTGGGCTTAACACAAGGTCACTCTTCATTCTGACAATTTTAGCTGCCCACATAGTTCTTCCAGGTGTCGTGACTTTTGAATGTCTTTCAAACTCCAAGGGATGAAGGACTGTTAATGGGTTTTTGTCATTTTAGTACATATCTGAAGCTACATTTATTATTTCTTGACCCTTGCTTACAAAATTTTTGCAATTTAAATCTGACATCAAATTTGCATGTTTATGTAGATGCTGTCATTATAAAATTGGCTGTACTCTTGTTAGTTTTTCTTATGTCCATTCTTTTATCTTTGAGAACTGTGATGAAAATGCAAATCCACCAACACTGAGTGCTTACAATATACAAAACACTGACTGTGCTAGGTACTGCAACTGGTGGGGAGACACATAAAATATGAATTATTACCACTGATGGGAAGAATATGAGGTACAGAAGGCCCGATGCCCATAATTTCTACACCTGGAATAGTGAGAGAAACCTTTCCCCTGCTCTCGCCACAGTCTTTCTCAGACAAGGTGAACTGTTTTGCAAGGAAAACAAAAGAGCAATTGAGAATTCATCTGTGTCCAGAGAGTGCAGGTTCCCAAATGAGATTTTGAAAGTACTTCCCTGACTAAATAAATTATTTAATTAAAACTACACACAATTGCTTCACTGTGTGGAATTGTTCCCCTTGGAGTGGTAAGTCTGTTTTCCAGCTGAGCCTCAGGCCCCCACTAGTAACCACCTTCTGGACCCTTTGCTTGGCTGCTGTCTGAAGCTCTGTGTCTCCGGGTTGCCTCCAGTCCAGTTCTCCCTGGACTTTTATATGTTGATATACAGGGCAATTGTTTTCACGGCCTCCCATGTTAAAAACCTTGGGTCAAACTCCATTACTCCCTTGCCTCTGGGTTTATTGGTAACAACTTTGTCTCTCTTCTATAATTTTTCCATGATCCACATCAACCTAGTTTACACCTTCATTCTCTTCTGTCTAGAGTCACCCAACTCCTTACTTTGCTAGTCTCACCTCCCTATATCTATACTTTCTACACTCCCTTCACAGGTTAAACTTCCCAGAATACCCTTTTGCACCAGCCACTCCCTTACTCGAATGTCAGTGGCTTGACATCACCTACATTAAATTACAACTCTTTAGCTTGGCCTCTAAATCTTTACTAGACCAATCAGAAGTCTCTCCAACTTCCCCTCTTCCCTCTCTGCATTCTATACAAACTCCTGCTCCGACCAGATGGACTTGCTCCGTGTGCCTCGGACCCCTGTTTCCTCACCCCATGCCTTTGCTTCTCCCCCACCTCCACCCACCTTGCCCTTTTAGCTCCTCCTCCCATTCTCCCCAAATTCTACCCACTACCCAAGGTTCAGCTCTGTCTCACCTCTTTTTTGAAGCTTCCATTACTCTAAATTTTAGGGAACTTTTCTTTCTCTAAGAGCTCATGGCCTCACTCAGTCTTTAGTGCTCAGGTAAAGCTACTTTGGGTTTCTTGTTGTGGATACCTAGTCTGTCTTCACAACCACTCTGATGATGAACTTAACCTAACCTCATGGTATTCCCATCCCCTAGGACCTCAGTAGAAGGTGTGCAGGTATGTTTGTGTGATGACGTTCCTCAGGCATCTATGAGTCCTATAACTCCTTCCTTGCCCACACTCCCCTGCCCCACTCCTGCACATCAGACCAGTTACCGTCTCAGGCTTTCCAGAGCCCTTCCCTCCTTCCAGTTCAGAGAGGCCCCCAGCCTCTCTCCACCCCACCCACCCATCCTGTGGCCTGTCAGATGAACTGTCGTAACAATTTGGCACACAATTTTCCACTCTCAGGTTTTTAATATAATCCTTTCCCATTCATAATAAAATCCAGATTCCACATATTCTAACCCTAATATATCTAGTGATACTTCTCTATCATTCTTCTCTTGCAAGAGCCCACTGCCTCAATTAAATGAATGTACTGAGTTTCTGCTGTGAAACACCTTCTCGTTTTCTGCTTCTGCACCTTTGACCATGTTGCCTCGGCTCCTACTATATATATCCTTGCTTTATGCTTTTCACATTTAGAAATTTCATGTTCACCATTTGCTGTTGGAAAATTCACTGTGTCCTCCCCTGGACCGTGGTTCCGGTAAAGAAGGAAACGCACAGCCCAGTTCTGCGTCACTGAGCCTAACTTGGTGCTCCACCCAGCCCTGCCTGTGAAAACCCGAAACCTCAGGTACAGATCAGGAAACTGATTTAAAAGAGGTGGATAGAAAAAGTAATTCCATCCAACTTGTAAGCAAATGAGGATATGATAGCAGGGGAAGTGAAAATAAAGATCCTGAATACATAGAAGATGATCACGTAAAGTGAAAAACCAGAAAATTGGAGCCCGAAAGAAGTGCTAACTAAAGATATTCTAAGCATACATTTTAAGCAATTTTATGTAACACTGTCTTTCAAAACACTTTTACAGATTTAACCTGAATGTTGTAAAGGTTCCTGCCATTTGGGAAGTGCTTCTACTTTCTTTTGTTCTCTGGGAAAATGAATGGGTTATGTCCTAACACCTCAAAGAGGAGTAAGTTCCCAGTTGGGAGAGCAGTGAACAAGCAATGAATTAGTAGAGTGAGCAAGTCTTACTGCCTCTTTGGAAAAACCACATGCCCTTTGGAACACTCTGAACAAAAAGGAGGAGAGGTGGGTGCAGATCTGTTATTCCTGCGTCTCCCACAAGGAAAAAAAAAGATGATCCTTCTCTTCTGAGGCTGAATTCCTTACTCTACACCCAGCACAGTTACACTGCTTACATCTGGACAGCAAATCAAAGAGGCAGCATTCAAACAATTTGTGAGGGATATGCAGACGGGAGATAGGAAGAAGCAACTCTGCAAACTCCTTCCTGTGCCCCCTTTTTAAATTTCCCTTTGGCCAGAATGCTCATCTGGGCACGGGCGCTTCCAATCACTTCAAAGAGAGCTCTGGGTTCTGATGAATATTTTGGGGCCATGGGCCAAGGCAAGTCATGGGCTAGCACTTTTATGCTGGGTCTTTGATCAACCTTCCTTTAATCTCTTATCGTGGGTCTGATTCTGGTTTTGCACCTTATCCTCCGGACCTCCTCTGTGCTGACTTTTCTTTGAAGTCAGCGGTACACTTGTGGGTAGAAGGGCCCCCGTAGGAAACAGACGCACAACTGTCAAACTGGTTGTAATTGTTTTTATATTTTGCACTTTGTTTTGAATTGCTCAACCTCTCTAGGTAGCCACACCTGGGCTCTTCAGATGTTTCCTTATCTGTGAGTTTGTGGTTTCTGAGTAAATAAATTTGGTTTAAAAACAAAATTATTCACCTTAATAAGGAGATATAAAAATGGATGTAGTAAAGGCAAAGAAAAAAAAGAGTGCTGTTGACCAGATGTTTGTAGGGTGAAAGAGGGAATGTATCATGATTTTTAAAAGTATGTATAAAAGCCCAGAAAGTCAAAAGGGCATTTATAGCAGTTATATCTGAGTGGAGGGATTATGAGTGTGTTCAATTTTGTATTATTTATTTATCTTTATTTTCCAATTTGTATTAGATGAACATGTCCTGCTTTTGCAACAAGAAAACAGTTTATTTTTAACTTAAGAAAATAGTCACATAAAGACAAGACAAGTAACCTATTAATAATGAGCTTATTTCTTGTGACTGACAATTCTGAATGTTCTAGGCTGATAATAAATGACACACCATTATTTTCCAAACTAATCTTCTTGTAACATTCTCCCAACTTATTTAACTATGGGGATTTAAAAACAAGCTCAACCTGCATCTGGGAAGTTATTAATTACTGTATTCATTACCAAGGGTCTATGTGTGGGCATGGATTAGAGGATGCGGTATAAGCTGGGGAATGTGTGGGGTGCTGAAATCACCCCTGTTTCGAATTCCCGAGGATCAGCACTTTTTAGCTGTACAGTATTCTCCTTCACCTGAGGTTTTGCTTTCCATGGTTCCAGTTGTCTGCCATCAACCATAGTCCATAGATATTAAATGGAAAATTCCAGGAATAAACAGATTGTAAGTTTTGAGTTGCACACTGTGCTGAGTAGCATGATGAACCTCGCATCATCCTGCTCCATCTCTCCCAGATCATCCCTTAGTCCATCATATCTATGCTGCATGTGTTCCCTACCCTTTGCCGCTCAGTGGCCAAGTCAGTTATCAGACTGACTGTCCAGGTACCACTGTGTTGTTGACCAGTGCTCAGGTCACCCTGATTTAACTGAACAATGGCTCCAAAGCAAGAATAGTGATGCTGGCAATTCAGATATGCCAAAGAGAAGCCGTAAAGTTCTCCCTTTAAGTAAAAAGGTTTTGTGTGTTTGTATGTGTATTTATATATATATATATATATATATATATACATTATACATTATATATTATATAATAATATACATTATATATATAGAAAACATAGTATCTATAGGATCTGATACTCATCTGCAGTTTTAGGAATTCACTGGGGGTCTTGGGATGTATTCTCCATAGATAAGGAGGTGGAGGACAACTATTCAAGACTAAGTAACTTTCCTAAAATTAAACAGCTAGTAAATGATGGTGCACCAGGACTTGCACTTGGGTATCTGTGGCTCTGAGCTCATCTTATTCCCATCATACTGTGGATACAGCAGTTGAGAACACATGAGAGGCAGTA